CAGACTTTTTTAAGTAGGATCTACATAGATGTTAGTTACCTACATCGACATTGAAATGCATATCAGTATATTTTAAATAATCGATTAGATCGTTATGATTTCAGCTATTTACGTAATTCTAGTAATAGGTAATTACGTCTATCCGGAAAAAAATGAAAACATTTGTTTGCCTGCGTATATGAATGTCGAGAATGGACTTTCCTCATTCAAAATTTTTAATATAAAATCAATTAAAAATTTAAATTTAGGATGTGTTTCAAATTTGATATCTTTTTAATGTACACAGTCAACGTTTTCATTTCAGTCGTTCTCTTTAAAAGTTTGTGTATAATAAAAATGTAGATTTCACTTACTTTCTGTGTAAAAAGTATCCGGAATTTGTAATATCAACACGTAGAATAAAAAATACCGTTTGTGTTTAATAAAAATTTAATTCTTCACTTTCTGTGTAAAAAGTATCCGGAATTTATAATATCAATACGTAGCATAAAAAATATGCTACTATTTCGGCAGTTATTTATGGTTTTTGACCATAAATGTCTTCTTAAGGTATTGTCATTATTTGTTGTAACCAATCCTTACTTACTAAAATCAACATCATATCCTTTTATGTGTACCATATATAAAAGTTCCTTTATATGTATATAAAAGTTTCTTTTTTATGTATATAAAAATATCAAATTTTTTTTTCTGCAAGTTATTTGTATTTGTTCTCAGTTTGGTAACGGCTAATATATTCTTTAAATATAATTAAAAATTATTACATTAAAGATTAAATCAATTTTAAATAAGTGAACTTTATAGTGTAAAGTGTAATGTTTACACAATGCCCAAAGTATTCTGTATTTTAGAAAGTAAAAAGATATCAATTCTGCATTGATTTGTATAAATCTAACAAATAGAATAAGTCCAAATTGAACTTTGGAATCTATAAAATGTGGAAAAATCTTAAATAAAAAAACAATACCAACATATAAGAGATTTTTTCCATATTTTTCATAATTTTTTTTCCGATTTGGTTTTCCCCAAATTCCTGATTTCGAGTCAGAAAGAAACATCAGACCTAATTACAAACAATGGTCATTTTTTGTCAAAAAAATATGACGGTATTATCAATTTAATCCTTATTATATAAAATTTCATGAGAATTTCATGAGAAAATTTCATGAAAATTTCATATGAAACAAAAAAAAAAGCGATGATTACCTTCAAACATGAACGTATCAGCTTGGTTACTAAAAACAGATTCGTTCGCTTAAAAACACGAATATATCCAAAACCCGTATTAAATCCTGTTAAATTATCATCGAATAAAAATTTCTAAGTAATGAAGAATAATGTCAGCCGGAAAAAGCATGGATACTGTTTTTTATATTCATAAAGGCAAGTTGCTAATCGACAACGTCGTATATAATCGTAAAGGATATTATTTAAAAGAAACTCTCCAAAACACTTTAATAATTTGAAATATTATACAATTTTTTTCATTCGTATCATTCGAAAAATTACAGTTAGAACCAAGCATTGTATGTACTTGTATATATCTTCTATATTCCAATAGTCTAATAAGAAATATTCCATAGCCTTCTAAAAAGAGTTGTGGAAAGAAAATTTATTAAGTTATGGAGAATTCTGATAGTTTCCTAATATATTTTTCTTTTGGACCAGCATAATTTTTAAAACCAATTCGGAACGAAAACATATTAGGTAATAATTTTAAGGATATGTTATGGATGGCACTCTATATCTCAGTAAATATACAAAATGGTCCACAGTCTATTAGGGTCACATGATTTAAACTTTTAATACTGAGAAGAACAGGAAATGTAGAGAACTGAAAATAAGATGTTTAATATCATAAACACGCTTTAAATGCTTGGGGTTCCACAGACTGATTAGTTTGAATGGAGTTTCGAGCACTCCTTACATTATTGTATTCAAATAAAAAAAAAATCAAATTATTCAAGTGCAGAGCGGTAAACAAAATAAATATTATGAGTGCACTTGAATTTTCATTAAAATATATGTACATTTTGTTATTGTTATTGTTATTATTTAAAGAAACAGAACATTAAAATGTTAAATTTACAAATCAAGCAATAATAATCGTATGCATCAATATATTCCTCTATAGCGTAGATATAATCCAAAAAAGCAATAGTTAGGACGATTCCCAAAAAAACAGTGCTTGACAGAAGAAAAGTTCTTTCAACTTTTTGATGTTGTCCAAAATACACGTTTCAAAAAGTTCCAAAATTTTAGTTAAAATAATCGAATATCTTCCGAAAACAAACAAACCTTGAACCTATTAAAATAGTATCACCAGGTAAGATATTTAATGATATTTAAATAATAAGTTATTATTTTATCTCAAACTTTATTTTGTTTGCAAAAGGTAAAATATATAATTTTTCTGGGTAACGTTACAGAAGATATTTTTAATAACAAAATTTTACACTTTTCTTCGTATCGAATATTATTGATAGGCCTGATGCACACCAGCGGTAAAAAACGCTAGCTGCCGGTTATATGGCGTTTACACTGGCCGAAAATGAATGAGTCAAATGAGTCAATTGAAAGTGTTTACATTCGTTGTAATTAATTTATTCTCATTCCAAACAGCTGATTTTTCAACTTACATGTTAATTTGATTTTTGGCCTGTGCCAAAAAAAAAACGTTGGATGAAGGTTAAATATACCTTCAAACCCTTCAATATAAACTGAAAACTTATTTTTAACTTTGATAAATATACTTTTGGGAAGTTGAAGTTCCAAGAAGAGGTGCATCGTTTTCAAGAATATGCAACCACCAATCATTTGTTTATCTTTTTTTTTGTAAATTTGTCAAAAACAGCTTTCTAATCTCGTCAAAAGCTTTTATTTAGGGTATGTTCAATGTATTAATTTGCATTTGGAACATATTTTGAACTCATTCTAACCGCGTTAAAACTCATTTATACAGATTGAGATCCAATAGAACTCATTTGCGCTTGAGATTTTTTATGCAAAAATGATTCATTTGCTTCTCATTTTTGATTTTTGACCAAAATGAGCCATTTGAGGCCAGTGCAATTGCCATATTATGAATAATGAGCAGTGAACACTAACCCACGGCGCTAACCCACAGTGAACACTATATATTTATATATATATATATAAATATTAAAATTTAATACTTCGGCTAATATATATATTATATTTATATATTATAATATATATAATATATATATATTTTAATGTATATGTATATTTTATGTTTTCTGAGGTGTATCAGTTTTGAGTAGTCTCCAATCCTCTTTTAATATTAAATAAAAATTAATTTATTTATTCCTGCTGGGATTTCTTTAAAGATATATACATAAATATATTTCCAATCTCCAGTCCTCTTTTAATATTAAATAAAAATTAATTTATTTATTCCTGCTGGGATTTCTTTAAAGATATATACATAAATATATTTTTCGACCGGGCTTGGTCTAATTTGGACGTCAAAATTGTCGTCATTTATTTCTTTGTACTCTCATGTTTTCTAAGTTCATTCTAGCCATTATCACACATTGAATCTATTGAGTTCCACTGTTTTTCCTAAATATCAGATTAAGTAATTAACTAAATACTTTTAGAAATATAGTTTTTTTAAATCAAAAAAAAAAAAATAAAGAAAAGAAACCTACTGTTAAATAATTCAAAAAGTGCAAAAAATTAAAATTAAAATAAAAAAAAAAAAAAAATAAACACATTCCAAAATTTTGAATTTAACTTGTTCTAAAAATACTTAAGTTTATACTCTTTTGACAAATAAAAAATATCATAACAATAATTAACGTGGCGATAATGATATTGATAATAATTATGACTATGATGATGATTATTGTTTTGATAACACAGCCGCTTTTTTAATAATATTACGAACATATAAGTTTTATATTCTTATAGAATCGCATTGGGTCGGCCGACAGACGCGCGCGCTCTCTCTCATTCTGGCAAACGACTACGCCGCGCATTCGTCGTAATCGCAGTTTTGTTGTTATTAACAATTTTGCTAAGATTATCAACAATAAAAAACAGTTTAGTTCACATCGAGAACTTTATTGGTTTAGTCGCTATTCTGCATTGGACGTCAGTACAAAAATATCAGACTGCTTTTAATACTGATAGCGTCAAGCCCTGCATTGTGGATTATCCTTTTCGTAATCGCGTACGACATCGAAAGTGTAGTTGTTTCAATTTTAATTAACAAATCGCCTATTTAGTTTATCTCAAACGTGTGACTAAAAAAAATTATTGATTATTATTGAATACAACGAGAATATTTAAACACATAAAATAAAAAACCGGCTAATATTTTATTTCTCAATTGAAAATCCCACCATTTGATCATATTAATCAAACAGTGAACTGCAATAGAATAGACCATATCATAAATTAAATTTAATTAAACATAAATAAATCTGTGCCGAGAAAGTCTACGCAAAGAAGTACAAGTTTTGAAGAGATTTCAGTGCATTACGATAACGCATTCAATATCTAACGCGTCCATAATATACATAGCCGTCTCCATATCCATATCGGCACCGACATCGACATCGACATCGAAATCGACATCGAGTTCGAGTTCGAGAACCGTTGATTCAGACCAGCAGCGAAATTGTTGATTATTATGAAGCACTTTTACCTCGTCTTCGTTACCTTGTCTACTAAGCTAAGCTACTAAGTAACTGACTTTTTAACACGTTCATCGTCAATTATGTGTTTATGAGCAATTGTTTACTTGTATCTTAAATAAGTATCCTCCTCATCCGATATCGACAGCAGAGTTTAAGTTAAATATTTGAGATAGTTAAGTGCGTTAATGTTGTGTTGTGTTGTGTAATATAAAATTTTTTTTTTTTTTGAATATAAGAAAAGTTAAAAATTAAAAATATGATGAGGTGACTTTTTTCGCTGTTTACTAATTTTTTTCTGTATATTGTCGAAATTAAAAATTATTGTCAAAAAGACTATTCGCTTCATTAATACAAAATGTTATCAAATATGTTGAAATTGAAAACGGAAATTATACCGAGTAGTAGCTTTGAAGATTCCTATTCAAGCATATTTGAGGATAATTTGCTACACATGATCGGTGAGTAAATTTTAATTTTAAATGAACGAATATCTACAACATACATATATTTATATCTAGAGCGAAAAATTATTTTCTAATGCCTACGAAATTATCAATTTATTCTTCGCATTTTCTTTTCATTTGTATTAATTTTCTCTTTTCTAAATACTTAAGTAATACTCGAAAATCTCCGATCTCTGCCTAACTAGTATTTATGTCACAACCACTTTACGGACCATCTTCATTTTATTGACTTTACTATTATTTCAACAAAATTTCATACAAAAATTATTTTATATATATAAAAAAAAATTAATGTACAAAAAAGAAAAATAAATAATCATATAGAAAAGAAAAATATATATTTAAAAAAAAAAATAGACATAAAAGAAAAATATTTGTGAAAGAAAAATATGTACTCAATATATATATATATTATATATATATATATATATATATATATATATATATATATATCCATAATATATACATAATTTTATATATATATAATATATATATATATATATTATATATAATATTTATATATATACATATTTAAATTTTTATATATATATAATTTTTTTATAATATATTAAAATATATATATATATATAATAAAATGTTAATATATACTATATACACATAATTTTTTTTCAAATTATATAAATGTATATACACATATATTACATTTCATATATCAATAGAAAAAGTATAATTTAATGTATATATATAATATTTATATATTATATATAAATATATTTATATATATATATTTACAAATATTATATTATATATATATTATTATATAAATATTTTTTTTTATATATACAAAAAGAAAAACACATACATATAAATTTTTATATATATATTTTCTTTTCTATATATATATATAACTTACATATATTAAATACAATATTTAATTGTATTAATTGCATATTATATTATATTATATATATTTATAATATTGGATTAAGCATCTCGTGATTATGTTGCCTTCCCAAGTTCCTAGGCAGGTCATATCTCAAAAAATGTATTAACACACATTAACCAAAAAATATAGGGGATAAAGTTCAAATTAGTTTTTATTATTTATATACGGCATCACAATGGGCCAATAGGCCTAAGTGGATCCAATAGGGATCACCGGTATAACCTAAGTACAAATTATCACTATTTCGTTAGTTTAAACTAAAATTATTGTAACTTCGAAATCTCTTCCCTCTGGACCTACAACTTGGAAAATTAAAAATACCAATTTTAGATAAGATTCACTGAATGCTTAGAAAGCCAACTCATTCTGATACCTCAAAAATCATGATGAAACTTTAAACCCAGATATGTTATTTTCTATTTTTCCCATTTAGTGGTTCTAATACATATATAAGAAAAAAATAAATGCATTAGCACAAAACAAGTTCCTTACCTATATATAAACTAACTTTAATTGTAATCATTTATTCACAAACGGCACTTACATTGTGACCGAAAAGTTTCCGGTCATAAATAAATAAAACGCAAAATTCTTAATCTTCATCAATATTTATTTTATCTCCTTCAAAATATGCTCCATTAGAAGCGATACACAAATGCCAACGTTTCTTCCAATCATCAAAACATTTTTTATAGGCGCTTTCCGGTATGGCTTTGAGTTCCCTCTGCGAATTCTGTTTTACGTCTTCTATGGATTCAAAACGCGTTCCTCTGAGTGGTAATTTGAGGTTGGGAAACAGGAAAAAGTCACACGGTGCAAGATCAGGTGAATACGGTGGCTGTTCGATGGTATTTATTGAATGTTTGGCCTTAAAATCGTTGATAATGTTGAACAAATTGAGGTGAATCGGAACAAGCCGGGCGTTGACACGTCGCATACACAAATTGTCCACCAAAATCAAACGAGCCATCTCACGACCGATGCCTAGCTCTCGTGCTATCTCTCTAACACTCACATGAGGATTTTTGAACACGATTTCCTTTGCCTTTTCAATGTTTTCGTCGGTGGTAGAGGTCGAAGGTCGTCCAGAACGCGGCATGTCTTCGACGGTCGTACGACAGTCCTGAAAGGCTTTGTACCACTCATAAACTTGAGTTTTCGATAAAACTGATTCCCCATAAGCCTTTTGTAGCATTCGCAACGATTCTGCACACGAAATTTCGTTCGAAAAACAAAATTTGATGCAAACTCTTTGTTCAATATTTTTTTCCATTGTTTTTTTCGCAACGCACTACTGAGGTGAACTGGTTTCAACAGCTGCCGTAAACGAACTGTTTGACAGATCGCGCTCATTTTTGGCATAGTAATTAAGGACAGTGCTGCCAAACTACATAAACTTAAAATATCGAAAAATATACAGCGCGCGAATTTTAAATGAGAACCTCCGAAAACCTTTCGGTCACAATGTATTACTAAAGTTCTGCAATGTTAATTTTAGTGAACTAGTTCAATAGTTCATTTTCGTGTTTTAACCTGGTTAAATATAAAAAAAGCACAAAAAAACTTATAAGGTTTAAACTTTAATAAGAATTTAAATAATTTATTAACAAAATATACTTATTAATGTACTTATTATTACTGTTCGTTTTAATGAACTAGTTCAATAGTTCATTCACTTGTTTTGAACTGGTATGATCTTTTTAGAAAAAATAGATTTAAAACACAAAACACACAACTTATATATAATCTTTAATAAAAAGTTGAATTATTTATTAACAAAATATATTTATTGCCGAACTTTTCTAATGTCTATTTTAATGAACTAGTTCATTTTTGTTTTTTCATCTGGTTTGATCTGTCAAGAACAAATAAATTTAAAAGCACAAAACTAACACCTTATGTATAAACTTTTAAAAGAATAAACTTTAAAAAATTACATATTATCAAAATGCATGTACTATTGAAACTCTGTGAAGTTCGGTTTTTTGAACTAGTTCAGTAATTCATTAACGTGCTTTTAACTTGTTCAATCTTTTAAGAAAAATAAATTCAAAAGCACCATCTATGTAAGCTTTAATAAGAACCTTAATCATTTATTAATAAGTTAAACTATTTCGTAGTTAGTTTTCTTGTTTAAATATTTTATTAATGAATATGTTAGGAAATCAGATGAAATATATGAAAGTAAGTACAAATGCGACTTACTCACATTTATTCTAACATATATATTGGTGGTTCTTCTCTTCATTGTAATCAAAGAAATATTGAAATCTGATTTCCAAAGTCAAATAAACTACAAGCAATAAGATTAATGAAATAATTCACTTGAACTTTTGAATGAACTAGTTCCTTTGTGAACTACAACTATTGCTCTACTTATTATATCAATGTGTATTAATAGTAACTACAAAATATTGATATTATGGTTAACAAATATAAAACTTATAAAAACCGTAATATAGTTCAAAACCGCCCCAACAATAATGTTTAAAATGTTATATCTACAAATTAAATAATATATAATATAGTTCAATTTCTTTAAAAACAGGCTTGACATAAAATATTAAAATTGTAAAAATGTTAATATGAGATAAAATTAATAAGTTAATTAGGTGATAAGTTGATCTCATATAATCAGATATTTTTAAAATTGCACATATACTTATCAAATATAGAAGAACCGAGTTACATCCAACTGGAATACATTGATTCATAGTTTTTAGAGAGACATTGTCCTCTCGCTATTGCTATTTTTTAGTCTTTTTATTCATAACCTTAATTCTTTGTACAGTATTTATAAAAAAAATAAATCATATTTAGGCATAACAATAGTGTTTTTAGTGTTTGATAACATTTTCTTTACTTTTCTCTCTAGTATTTGAAAAATTATTCTTTCATTCGGCCCTCAATATATATTGATGATTTATAGTGTTTTATAAAAATTTATATATTATATTAATTATTGTTCCATACAAATAATATTCAATATGAAATTTATTTAATTAATAATCAATGCATATCAGTAAGAAAAAAGTAATTATAAATTAAAATATATTAATAATAACATATGTACGTTTTATTAATTTTTTTGTCCTGTTAATATTTTAACAACCATCAAGTGAAGATATACTCCAAATTTAATTCTCTTTATTAGTGCTTACCGACTGACTAACTTACGGGCATTTTGAAAAAGACGTGATTAAAGACGTATATAGGAGAAATTCGAATCTGTTGCAATATTTATGAGTCTGCATCAAATCCTTGCAAAAATAAATTGTTAAATAGAATTGGTAATATATATATATTATTGAATGGATATATATATATAAATAGTGTACACTGTACAGTGACTCAACTTAAATTAGGAATTGTCATTTTTAACCAATTTTTCGCGTATATCAATTATTATTATAATGTAGTTCGAATGGGTGAGGACCCATTCCTGTAAATAATGCAAAACAAAATATTGTGGATAACTTGAGGTTGAAACTTTTCTAAGCAGCAGATAAAGTTGTTTTTGCTTCAAAACCCTGTCAATGTATTAATTTATATAGTAGTATTTACTGACGAAACTGTTTTTTCTTTTCTTATTCATGAATCAGTATACGCCGTCCGTCCAAACTATAGAAAGAGATTCATTTATATAATACCTAAACGGCTTATGTAATAAACTACGAGACTAATACTAACAGGTACGTTAAAAAACCCTTAATTACTAGACTCATTCGTGTGTAAAATAATAAATAAAAAGCATATGTTTTAAAAAATTGAAAATAAAACACGAGATATATACAAGACAATATATAATTAAATAACATATAAAGCACATGATTTTACTTCCAAATTACTTCCACGTCGGGAAATGACCATTAAAGATGAACCCAACAGCACGCACTGATAGACCCACAATGTAGTGGTGTTGATACAACAAATTTAATTGAATATTTTATTAAAAGAATTGTAAAATTCCAATGCTGGCTTTGAAATAACGTACTTTTACATGTTAGATTTTTTGAATTTAGTAACACCGACTTAACGTCCATTTCAGAAATTTGAAGTTCTGTGCTTGTATTTAAGTTATCGTTTC